TTTTAATTTTTTTTTTTTTTTTTTTTTTTTTATATCAATTAAATAACAAACAAAATTTTAGATCAAAACATATACATAAACATGAATAAAAATCCTTAATAACTAAAGATTACTTTCTAAACCTGCTTTGTGTAGGAAGGAGATTATTTCTTTAAAAACATTCACATTATAAGAACTTAAAGTATCCTTTAAACAAGCATAATTATTAAAAAAAGAAAGACCAGCCCTGGCAGCAGCGTATTTAGGGCACTCAAAAATCAAATGATTCAAAGTCTCTGTAACCCCACAACTAGAGCACTGATCACTAACACCTCTTCTGAATTTACTAATATATATACTACCATACGTATGACCCGTTAATAATCTATTCATTAATTTGATGTCATATACATCCATATTACATTTTTTATCCCTAAACCAAGGCCTCTTTTTCAACCCACCCCCATTTTCTACAAAGGCTTTCCCTTTAACCATACTTAAATTCACAAACTCACTTTCCCATTCTTGCCATACCAAATTTTGAATTCGTATCAAAGCCTCACCAGGCGTAAGTTGAACATCAATATTAAGACCTCTGTTAACGGCCGCTTTAGCTGCAACATCAGCCCTCTCATTCCATTCAACACCTACATGACTCGGAACCCACAAAATCTGAACAGAACGCAAATTAGACCTGAAAATATCATTATGCACTTCAGCAACTAAATACGAATCAGTTGTATCACTATCAAGAGCATCAATAGCAGCCATACTATCAGTAAAAATAGCACCCTTTTCAACATTCAATTTTTCAAATATCCAAATCGCTTTTTTATCCCAACCAGCTCACCAAATGTAGAAGAAAATTTTTCTGATAATCTAAAAAGATAAGAAGTCATTTCACAAACATCATGAACCGCTACACCAACCGCATCATCCACTACTGAAGCATCAGTTGCTAGTAAATAATATCCCTCATCTTGCAATCTATATCTTTCCTCCATGTAAAAAGCCCGAATTTTTTCAACCGAAACATTTTTTTTAGAAACATCAAATTTAGACCTTTTCAAAACCAGACCTAAATGCCTTTCAAACCGCGTACTAAAATTAATTCTCTCAAAAATAACTTTAAATTTGGAAAAAACATGTCCATAACTAGACCCCTTAACCAAACCATTACATAAATCTTCTCTTAATTCACTATTAACCATCCATTGTCTACTTAGCTCCTTAGCAGTAAGCCACTCAGCCCTCTTCAACGGAGGTAATTCACCTGCAAGTGCAAACCTGGTGTGTATCGGGGTACTGGGTGGAACCCCAAGACACCTCCTTAACGTATCATTTACTATAACCTGTATCTTCTTATTAGTTCCTAATGGAGCATTGGCAAAAGTAACATTCGAATATTCAACTTTGGACCGTACAAAAGCTTTATAAAAATTTAAAGCCACCCGAGGCTCTAAACCTGACTTGATAGTCGTAAGCTTAGACAAAAGATTCCTATTTGGAATAATATCCTTTTTAATCATACCTATATGATCATTAATCGTAGCATTAAAACATATAACTCTACCCAACCATTTTAAACTAAAAACTTGCTCTATATCCTGCGAACCCACTCTTAAGACAAAAGGATTCCTCCTGTTTGTACCAATATTCATAAATTTTGTCTTACTATAATTAACTGACAGTTTTAAAGAACCACATAACTGCTGAAAACTGTTAATACTATTACTAAGCAAATTCAAAGCAGCAACATCATTACTATCACTACAAACAATCACAAAATCATCTGCAAACTGAAACAACTGGGGTGTTCACAGTTCGTTCCAAATAGTGTCTGAAAATGTAGACGTCTACATTTTAAGACGTTTTCTAACCGTAAAATCTGTGGTGTTGTTGTTTCCCATACAAAATTGGAAAACGACGCCGTCTACATTTTGTCACACTCAAAGGTATGTTTTTTACGCGTCTACATTTTGCAACCTCGCAGCAGGGTTGCATTATGGCAATACTAATCACATTTTTTTTATTTATTGGGCACGTTTTTTGTATTTGCATTTAATTTGAGCGCAATTTCTGATGAAAAGAAACAAATCAAGGAAAAGAAATAACAAATATTAGGAATTGGTAATTAAGTTAAATAATTACAATTTTTCAGAAACAAAATCGAAAGGCAATATATAAAAAATGCACGCAAAGAGGAAATGTCTGGCAACACCAGCAAAGTTTTGAGACGATTTTGCGACGACTGCTAGAAAGGGGTGCTCACAGTTTGATGCTAAAGATGTCTCAAAATGTAGACGTCTACATTTTCAGACACAATTTGGAACGAACTGTGAACACCCCAAACATAACATTACCAGAGTTAAGTTGATGTAAAAGAGCAGTATAAATATTAAACAATAAGGGTGACAAACAACTCCCCTGTGGCAACCCATTACACACAATAACCTGACTATCCCCAATTTTCAAAATCCTCTTAGAGAAAAAATTATAAACCCAATTAATAATTTTAACATCAGCCCCCTTATCACCTAAAATTCTCTTAAGAGTGACTAAATCAACACAATTATAAGCATCCTTTAGATCCAAAACACAAATAAAAATCTTTTGCCTTTCCGACTTCAACTTACTCACATAAAATAAAAACTCATTAATACACATAGTAGCCGACTTCCCCTTCCTATATGCAAAGCTACGCAAAGGAATAATGCCATTAACATTAGACCATTCTACAAGTCTATCCTTGACCATCATATTTAAAGTTTTAACAATAACCGATAATAGGGAAATAGGCCTATAATTTTTAATGTCACTCAAATTCCGATTTGCCTTAGGAATCGGCACTATCTTAATAACCCTCCACTCATCCTTAACAATATTATTATTAAAATGAAAAACAAGATCAGCTCGCAACTTTTCTTTACAATCATTTGATAATTGCCTTAGCATTTCAAAAGTAATCCTGTCAAAACCTCCTGCCGTACTCTTCTTTTTACTCAAAACCAAAGACAAATCATCCAAAGAAAAATTCAAATAACTATCACCATCACTATATGAACTATTATCATTAAAATCCAAACCAGTACAACCAACATACTGATTACCAACCTGATCCCTAAGCCACTCTAAATATTTCATATTATCCTCACTAACCCATTCTAATCTTTTATGTTTACATCCCTTCACATTATTAACAAACTTCCAGGCATCTCTAGAATTAGCATTACTATTAAGTTCACTTATTTTCATTTTATAATTCTCACTTTTTGCTTTTTTCACAGCAGCCTTCCATTCTTCTCTCAATAAACAAGCCTGTTCCATATCCTCCACTCTACCAGTCAGCCTGGCTTTCTTACGACTAGCCAAAAGCCTTCTATACAATCTACTCAAACTATCACACCACCAAGCCTTTGGAGAAAACTTAGTACAGTTTAAATCAATCGTAGCATTTCTAATCTCTTTCCGGATTAAGCTCACAACATCATCAGCATCACCATCACAATCAAGGGTCATAAGAGCTTTCTTTAACTTAACCTTAGAAACAAAAAGCTGAGGTAATCTTTGAATTCCTTTAATATCAATTAATAAAGGATGATGATGGCTACCACCAACATATCCATAATTACAATTCCAACTAACATCAAAAGCCGAATTAGTAAAAGATAAGTCTAAAACCGACTCAATAACACACCCATTCCTATTCACAGAAAAAGTCTTAGAACCATCATTAAGACATCTCAGTCCTGATCTATTACATATATTAAAAACAACCTTCCCTTTAGGACTATTGTTCCTATCACCCCACATTCTATTCTTAGCATTAAAATCGCCGACTAAAAGTAGATTATTAAACTTAACCAGAAAAGAAAAAAGCCGATTTACTTCATATTCAAAAACTCTAGTACTAACACTAGGAGCAAAATACACAGAACACACAACAAAATTATCCTTCAAATTAATAGTTTTAGCAATGACAATGTCATGTATTGAATTATACCTCACTCTCTCAAATCTTATATTTTTCCTGAAACCTACCGCAACACCACCATAACCATCCCTTCTCATCTTCTTAAGTAAATTAAAATTTATCAACTTATGCTCAGACTTTTGCTCATCATGAGAAAAAATTTCCTGAAGAGCAACAATATCAACATTATTTTGTTCAATAAAGAAATCTAAAAAATCCTTATTAGCCTTTAAACTTTGACAATTAAGCTGCAGAATTCGAATCTTGTCCATCAATATTAATAGAAGAAGCCACAAGCCTATCACTAACACTAGTCTTACATAAATTACTCATCAACTTCACCAAAGGTTCCTCAGAGTTAATATCAAATTTGTCAACCAAAAGCGCCAAAAGCCTTTCAATTTCAGAAACCTTACTCCATCTTTCACTATTAAAACAAGGACTTATTGTCTCTTTACTTCTCCGAATCTGCTTCTGCTGATCAACAATGGGCTGAAAACTCCGATCCTTAACAACTTCATTATACCTCCTCCTCGTCAACCTTCTATTAACAATATCATTATTATCCTGCACCTTATCCAAACTACTACCAAGCACCGGAAAAGAACTCTCATAATTATCCAACAAAGAAAAACGATTATTACTATGTAATATATCATTATAATCTCAAAGACTTCCCTCCTAGAAATCTTCTTGACAGTCATAATCTCAATAACTTCCTTTTCCTTCCTCCATACATCACATTTATTCTTATTTAAAGACACATGATCACTATTACCACAAAGAATACACTTAACTTCATTATCAGAGCATTTTCCAACACACTTTTCAATCTTTCCACAAAGA